GTAGAGACAGAGAGAGACCAGGGAGAGACCAGTAGAGACCAGAGAGAGAGACAAGAGACCAGCGAGAGAGACCAGAGCGAGAGAGACCAGACAATGAGAAAGGGGAGAGTCCAGGGAGAGAGACCAGAGAGCAATAAACTGTATGTAAGAAGTTTGTAAACAGAGCATTTTGACAGAATGGTTGGGGGCAGAGTTGTTAAAGCACTTCCTCCTCTGCTTCTCTCCCACGGAGCCGACCTCACTCTCGTCTGTCAGGCTCTAACTTTATAAATAAAGTTCTGTGAGTGTGTGGCCGCTGTTGTTGCCAGATTTGTCTTTGTGCGGGCGCCAGGATGGAGCGCAGTGCTGCAGGCCACAGGCGGGGGCACCAGAGAGGGGGAGAGCGTCAATCACCCGCCACTCACACCATCACCTCTGACCACAAACTCACCACACAGACCGTAACGAGGGGAGGAGAAATTACACTCAAGTTTAGGAGACAAGAGAGACTAAAGAGAGAGACCAGAGAGAGAGACCAGAGAGAGAGACCAGAGAGAGAGACCAGAGAGAGAGAGACCAGAGAGAGAGACCAGAGAGAGAGACCAGAGAGAGAGACCAGAGAGAGAGACCAGAGAGAGACCAGAGAGAGAGACCAGAGAGAGACCAGAGAGAGAGACCAGAGACCAGAAGAGAGACCAGAAGAGAGAGACCAGAGAGAGACCAGAGAGAGACCAGAGAGAGAGAGACCAGAGAGAGAGAGAGACCAGAGAGAGACCAGAGAGAGACCAGAGAGAGAGACCAGAGAGAGAGACCAGAGAGAGACCAGAGAGAGAGACCAGAGAGAGAGACCAGAGAGAGAGACCAGAGAGAGACCAGAGAGAGACCAGAGAGAGACCAGAGAGAGAGACCAGAGAGAGAGACCAGAGAGAGAGACCAGAGAGAGAGACCAGAGAGAGACCAGAGAGAGAGACCAGAGAGAGAGACCAGAGAGAGACCAGAGAGAGACCAGAGAGAGAGACCAGAGAGAGACCAGAGAGAGACCAGAGAGAGAGACCAGAGAGAGAGACCAGAGAGAGAGACCAGAGAGAGAGACCAGAGAGAGACCAGAGAGAGACCAGAGAGACTAAAGAGAGAGACCCGAGAGAGACCAGAGAGAGAGACCAGAGAGAGACCAGAGAGAGACCAGAGAGACCAGAGAGAGAGACCAGATGAGAGATGACCAGAGAGAGAGACCAAAGAGAGAGACCAGAGAGAGAGACCAGAGAGAGAGACCAGAGAGAGAGACCAGAGAGAGACCAGAGAGAGACCAGAGAGAGAGACCAGAGAGAGAGACCAGAGAGAGAGACCAGAGAGACTCGAGAGACTAAAGAGAGAGACCAGAGAGAGACCAGAGAGAGACCAGAGAGAGACCAGAGAGAGACCAGAGAGAGACCAGAGAGAGACCAGAGAGAGACCAGAAAGTTATTCCAAAGTGATAACCATGACCCTCACAGACCTGATAGTCCAGGATGCTGAAGCCCAGGCCACGGTCCGGGTCCTTGTTCAGTTCAATGGGAAGGACCTCCTCAGCCCACATGGCCAGCTCCCCCTCCTCCTCCTCCCCCTCCTCCTCCCCCTCTTCCTCCTCCCCCTCCTCCTCCTCCTCCTCCTGCTCCTCCTCAGAGACCAGCGGCTCCGACAGCTCCTGAGCAGAGAGAGGTGTGAGCTGTGACTGAAGCTGTAACCTCGCTCTAAAGACCTCACCTGTTTCATGGCTTCATCTCGGGCCTCGGTCTGACACAACAACGACGACAACTTTAACTCCATCTGAAACACACACACAGATACACAGACACACACACACACACACGGACACACACACACACACACAGACACACACGGGGGTTATTTATCCTGTAAAGATATTACATAAAAATATGTTAAGATATATCTCCACACGGCCCTAATGAGTCTCACTGTTGTGTGTTAGTGTGTGTCTGTTGTGTGTCAGTGTGAGGCTGTTGTGTGTCAGTGTGTGTCTGTTGTGTGTCAGTGTGTGTCTGTTGTGTGTCAGTGTGAGGCTGTTGTGTGTCAGTGTGAGGCTGTTGTGTGTCAGTGTGTCTGTTGTGTGTCAGTGTGTGTCTGCTGTGTGTCAGTGTGAGGCTGTTGTGTGTCAGTGTGAGGCTGTTGTGTGTCAGTGTGTGTCTGCTGTGTGTCAGTGTGAGGCTGTTGTGTGTCAGTGTGTGTCTATTGTGTGTCAGTGTGAGGCTGTTGTGTGTCAGTGTGTGTCTATTGTGTGTCAGTGTGAGGCTGTTGCGTGTCAGTGTATGTCTGTTGTGTGTCAGTGTGAGGCTGTTGTGTGTCAGTGTGTGTCTGTAGCTCCTCTCTCTGTCTCTGCTTCTCTCATGGTTCTATTCCTGAGGCTTTGGATTTGAGCCAAACACCTTTCACTCAGAGACTGACGAGATAGACCTGGTTTGGACCTGGTTTGGACCTGGTTTGGACCTGGTTTGGACCTGGTTTGGACCTGGTTTGGACCTGGTTTGGACCTGGTTTGGACCTGGTTTAGACCTGGTTTGGACCTGGTTTAGACCTGGTTTAGACCTGGTTTAGACCTGGTTTAGACCTGGTTTAGACCTGGTTTAGACCTGGTTTAGACCTGGTTTGGACCTGGTTTGGACCTGGTTTGGACCTGGTTTGGACCTGGTTTGGACCTGGTTTGGACCTGGTTTGGACCTGGTTTGGACCTGGTTTGGACCTGGTTTGGACCTGGTTTGGACCTGGTTTGGACCTGGTTTAGACCTGGTTTAGACCTGGTTTAGACCTGGTTTAGACCTGGTTTAGACCTGGTTTAGACCTGGTTTAGACCTGGTTTAGTCCTGGCTACTGTTCACTCCCTCAGACAGAGAGAGACCCTCCACATTCATGAACTTTTCTGTGTTTATAACGGTTTGATTTTCTGATCTGTGTCGGTGAATCGACACCTGTGTAAAGTCCTCAGAGACTAAACGACTGTTAAGATTTAGGGAAAATTATTTCCTAATTGGACAAAACTTTTTTCTCCTTTTCAAGATAACTTTTCACCGTCCCTGCTGAAGAAAAGCAGCCCCAGAGCACGATGCTACCACCCCATGTCTGACACTGGGGATGGTGCAGAGGCTGAGGAGAGCAGATAGAGGAGCAATGGTTCTGAGGGCAAGAGGAGGTGAGAGAAGAGGAGAGGAGGGGGGAGGAGAGGAGGTGAGAGGAGAGGAGGGGGGAGGAGAGGAGAGGAGGTGAGAGGAGAGGAGTAGAGGGGAGAGGAGGTGAGAGGAGAGGAGGCGAGGGGAGAGGAGAGGAGGGGGGAGGAGAGGAGGTGAGAGGAGAGGAGAGGAGGTGAGAGGAGAGGAGAGGAGGTGAGAGGAGAGGAGGGGGGAGGGTGGAGGAGAGGGAGGAGGTGAGAAAGTAGAGGAGGAGAGAGGAGAGGAGGTGAGAAAAGGAGAGAGCTGTTTCCCACTAACCTCCTCCACACTGGGCCTGGTCTTGGGTTCTAGTCTGGACTCTTGTCTTTGGTCCTGCTGAAGAGTAGGTCCAGTCTCTGAGTCCCGGTCCGAGTCCTGGTCCTGGTCCATGTCCTGGTCCGGGCCCAGGAGCCTACAGCAGACCAGAGTGAAGGGAGGCGGGACCTCCTTCAGAAACGAGATCACCTCCCGACGAGATTTCCCGTACAGCTGCACATGGTTCACCTGGAGAGGAGACAGTCACACCAGTTAGACCAGGAGGAGGACCAGGACCAGGAGCAGACTTTAGAACCAGAGAGGCGAGATCAGAAACTCACCTCCAGCAGCTCGTCCTCCGGCCTCAGAGCTCCGTGTAGATCCACTGCTCCCTCCGGAACCACAGAAGAGATGTAGTGATGTCCATCGAAAGAGTCCAACTCCACACCGAGTCTCAACGTGTGGACCGGGAGCAGCTGCAGGAGGAGAGAAGGAGGTGAGGGAGGAGGAGAGGGAGGAGTCAGAGAAATGGTTCTGAAGGAGAGAGGAGGGAGGAGGAGAAGAGGGGAGAGAGGAGGACAGGAGAGGAGAGGAGAGGAGAGGAGAGAGGGGAGAGGGAGGAGAGGAGAGCAGAGAGGGGAAGGGAGGGCCCCACTCTGGCCCCACTCTGGCCCCACTCTGGCCCCACTCTGGCCCCACTCTGGCCCCACTCTGGCCCCACTCTGGCCCCACTCTGGCCCCACTCTGGCCCCTCTCTGGCCCCACTCTGGCCCCTCTCTGGCCCCTCTCTGGCCCCACTCTGGCCCCTCTCTGGCCCCACTCTGGCCCCTCTCTGGCCCCACTCTGGCCCCTCTCTGGCCCCTCTCTGGCACTCTGGCCCCTCTCTGGCACTCTGGCCCCTCTCTGGCACTCTGGCCCCTCTCTGGCACTCTGGCCCCTCTCTGGCACTCTGGCCCCTCTCTGGCACTCTGGCCCCTCTCTGGCACTCTGGCCCCTCTCTCGCACTCTGGCCCCTCTCTCGCACTCTGGCCCCTCTCTCGCACTCTGGCCCCTCTCTCGCACTCTGGCCCCTCTCTCGCACTCTGGCCCCTCTCTCGCACTCTGGCCCCTCTCTCGCACTCTGGCCCCTCTCTCGCACTCTGGCCCCTCTCTCGCACTCTGGCCCCTCTCTCGCACTCTGGCCCCTCTCTCGCACTCTGGCCCCTCTCTCGCACTCTGGCCCCTCTCTCGCACTCTGGCCCTCTCTCGCACTCTGGCCCTCTCTCGCACTCTGGCCCCTCTCTCGCACTCTGGCCCCTCTCTCGCACTCTGGCCCCTCTCTCGCACTCTGGCCCCTCTCTCGCACTCTGGCCCCCCTCTCTCGCACTCTGGCCCCTCTCTCGCACTCTGGCCCCTCTCTCGCACTCTGGCCCCCTCTCTCGCACTCTGGCCCCTCTCTCGCACTCTGGCCCCTCTCTCGCACTCTGGCCCCTCTCTCGCACTCTGGCCCCTCTCTCGCACTCTGGCCCCTCTCTCGCACTCTGGCCCCTGCCCTCTCGCACTCTGGCCCCTCTCTCGCACTCTGGCCCCTCTCTCGCACTCTGGCCCCTCTCTCGCACTCTGGCCCCTCTCTCGCACTCTGGCCCCTCTCTCGCACTCTGGCCCCTCTCTCGCACTCTGGCCCCTCTCTCGCACTCTGGCCCCTCTCTCGCACTCTGGCCCCTCTCTCGCACTCTGGCCCCTCTCTCGCACTCTGGCCCCTCACTCGCACTCTGGCCCCTCTCTCGCACTCTGGCCCCTCTCTCGCACTCTGGCCCCTCTCTCGCACTCTGGCCTCTCTCACTCAGGTCTAAACAACACGCCTCCGCAGCCCACAGTGAGCTCTGACCTTTGAGGACTTCTGCAGCTCCTCGTCATCTTCGATCACAGGGTCCAGCTCCACCACCTGCTCAGCACACCTCACATTTATTTATTACGCACAGACATGACACAGACATGTGGTCCGGACTCTCAAGACCCTGTGGTCTAGACCCAGACTCAACAGGACCCTGAGGTTTCAGTCCAGACTCACCAGAACTCGGTAGTTTGGCCCCAGCGCCTTCTCCCACTTCTCTCTGAGCTGCTCTTCTGACGCTGAAAAACAACATTTAAAGTGAGAGACCAGAGTGAGACCAGTGAGACCAGTGAGAGAGACCAGTGACAGAGACCAGTGAGACCAGAGAGACCAGTGAGCGACCAGTGAGACCAGTGAGACCAGTGAGACCAGGGAGACCAGTGAGACCAGAAAGACCAGTGAGAGCAGTGAGACCAGTGAGAGAGACCAGTGACAGAGACCAGTGAGACCAGAGAGACCAGTGAGAGAGAGCAGAGAGACCAGTTAGAGAGACCAGAAATAGACCAGTGAGAGACCAGCGAGACCAGAGAGAGACCTCTATTCATTTACAATCCTGATCTGCTACTTCCTGAGAGCTCTGCTCCTGGTTCTCGTCGAGATTCATGTGTTTCAGAAACAGCCGAGTCAGAAACATGGAGAATGATTCCACAGAGAGGATCAAACACACACGACGGATGTGTTCATGAAGCTGAGGAGACTGCTGGAGGGGGAGACCAGGGGAGACAACAGAGGGGAGACACCAGGGAGACACCAAGGAGACACCAGAGGGAGACACCAGGGAGACACCAGAGGGAGACAACAGAGGGGAGACCAGGAGAGAGACAACAGAGGGGAGACCAGGAGAGAGACAACAGAGGGGAGACACCAAGGGAGAGACAACAGAGGGGAGACACCAGAGGGAGACACCAGGGGAGACAAAAGAGGGGAGACACCAGGGAGACACCAAGGAGACACCAGAGGGAGACAACAGAGGGGAGACCAGGGGAGAGACAACAGAGGGGAGACACCAGGGGAGAGACAACAGAGGGGAGACACCAGGGGAGACACCAGAGGGAGACACCAGAGGGAGACACCAGAGGGAGACACCAGAGGAAGACACCAGAGGGAGACACCATGTGGACTAGGGGTGACATGAGAAGAGGGGAGGAGATGAGGGAAGGGAGGAGAAGGGACAGGCACCTCTCACTCTCTGGTCTCGCTCACTCTCTGGTCTCTCACTCTCGGGTCTCTCTCACTCTCGGGTCTCTCTCACTCTCGGGTCTCTCTCACTCTCGGGTCTCTCTCACTCTCTGGTCTCTCTCACTCTCTGGTCTCTCTCACTCTCTGGTCTCTCTCACTCTCTGGTCTCTCTCACTCTCTGGTCTCTCTCACTCTCGGGTCTCTCTTACTCTCGGGTCTCTCTCTCTGATCTCTCTCTCTGGTCTCTCTCTCTCTGATCTCTCTCCGGTCTCTCTCCGGTCTCTCTCTCCGGTCTCGAACCCTGCCCCATGTACTTAAATCTTCTCAGTGAGACTCAGACCTTGGTTCTCGTCGCTCTCGTCTCGTCTCACACTTTTCTTCAGAGAAAGTCCAGAGTCTCCGCGCTCCACTGAAAACACAACAACGTTCTTCACTCTGAGGCCGTAGTGATCGTCAGCCATGTTGGAATACTTATAAAATGCTTTCGTAGAACTACTTTAAGACCCTGACCGTGTGTGGACTGGTCTGAAACTTGTGATCAGGAGTGTATATTGTTTTGTGTATCCGAGACTGGACACACACACACACACATACAGACGCACACTAAAGGCTAAAGTGGGAGTTTTAATGTCTTTTCGCAGAGATAAGCTCTTCCTGCTGCGGCCGGACACTGAGCAGAGAAATGAGCGACGCCTCTGAATCCATCTGCAGCGCGCCACAAAAACACATTCGTCATTTTAATCTGAGGCCGCCGCAGAAATGGACCCGGAGCCGAGACTTTGGAAAGTTACAACCGGTTTAAGAGAGAAACAAGAGACACTCAAGAGAAACCATTTAGACCAGGCCAGGGAGGGATCCGCCACCGATACTAGTGGCTCTTAAAGCTCGGGGACGTAACTTTAAAGCTCAGGGATGTAACCTTCACACCACAACAATAGAACTCTTTCATAAAAACTGTCTCTAGTTCCTGGCTCTAAAACTGTTTTTTACGATCAATACTTTTCTGATGTATGTATTTCTGTCTCTGTCACATCTCGTGTTATTAATTATTATTATGCATTATTTATTAGATAAAAGTTATAGACCCAAGCTTTAAACATGTGTTATTTATACAGCGCTGCTTTTCAGGATTCTCAAAGACGCTTCACATGTAATTATTCTTTCTTAACACGGTGGTGATAAACTTCTACTGTAGCCACAGCTGCCCTGGGGCACACTGACAGAAGCGAGGCAACCAGTCTGTGCCATCAGCCCCTCCCACCACCACCAACCATTCACACACACACCACACTCATTCTAATGTGGGGGAAGTGTCTTGCCTAAAGACACAACCACAGTTTGGCACTTTACAGCCGCAGCCGCCCCACTGTGAGGTCTCCCATCACAGCACTAACCAGACCCTGCCCTGCTTAGCTTCAGAGGTCTGACAGGATCTGGCTATCACCTGCAGGTGTGTAACTTCAGTGATGTGTGTTACCTCTGTCCAGAGATCGCTCTGGCGCCCTCTTCCTGCGGACCAGAGTTAGCAGCACGTTCTGTCCGGTCTGTTTCATCACCTCCAGCACCTGCTGGTTCGAGCGACCATGAAGACTGATGCCGTTCAGCTGCAACAGACACACTAGTGAGGTCCCTCATGACACTAGTGAGGCCCCTGATGAAACTAGTGAGGCCCCTGATGACACTAGTGAGGCCGCTAATGACACTAGTGAGGCCCTGATGAAACTAGTGAGGCCCTGATGACACTAGTAAGGCCGCTGATGACACTAGTGAGGCCGCTAATGACACTAGTGAGGCCCTGATGACACTAGTGAGGCCCTGATGACACTAGTGAGGCCCTGATGACACTAGTGAGGCCCTGATGACACTAGTGAGGCCGCTGATGACACTAGTGAGGCCCCTAATTACACTAGTGAGGCCGCTGATGACACTAGTGAGGCTCCTGATGACACTAGTGAGGCCCCTAATTACACTAGTGAGGCCGCTGATGACACTAGTGAGGCTCCTGATGACACTAGTGAGGCCGCTAATGACACTAGTGAGGCCGCTGATGACACTAGTGAGGCCCCTAATTACACTAGTGAGGCTCCTGATGACAACAGTGAGGCCCCTGATGACACCAGTGAGGCCCCTGATGACACCAGTGAGGCCCCTGACGACACTACTGAGGCCTTGATGACTCACCATCAGCAGGCGGTCGTGGACCCTGATGTTCCCGCTCTGATCTGCTGCGCTGCCAGGAACTACAGTCTTCACAAACACACCCACAGCCTCTGAAAACCAAAAACCAGGTCAAGACCAGGACTAGACCAACCCCTGGACTAGACCCAGAGCAGGTCTGGTCACTCTCTCTGGTCTCTCTCTCTTGTCACTCTCTCTGGTCACTCTGTCACTCTCTCTGGTCACTCTGTCACTCTCTCTGGTCACTCTCTCTGGTCACTCTCTCTGGTCACTCTCTCTGGTCACTCTCTCCCTCCCTCTGGCCTCTCTCCCCCTCGGGCCTCTCTCCCCCTCGGGCCTCTCTCCCCCTCGGGACTCTCTCTCCCTCTGGCCTCTCTCTCCCTCTGTGGTCTCTCTCTGTGGTCTCTCTCTCCCTCTGGTCTCTCTCTCCCTCTCCCTCTGGTCTCTCTCTCTGTGGTCTCTCTCTCCCTCGGGCCTCTCTCCCCCTCTGGCCTCTCTCTCCCTCTGGCCTCTCTCTCCCTCTGTGGTCTCTCTCTCTCTCTCTGTGGTCTCTCTCTCTGTGGTCTCTCTCTCCCTCTGGTCTCTCTCCCGCTCTGGCCTCTCTCCCCCTCTGGCCTCTGGTCTCTCTCTGGTCCCTCTCCCTCTCTCTCCCTCTGGTCTCCGTCTCGCTCTGGTCTCTCTCTCTCTCGCTCTGGTCTCTCTCTCTCTCTGGTCTCTCTCCCGCTCTGGTCTCTCTCCCCCTCTGGTCTCTCTCCCCCTCTGGCCTCTGGTCCTCTCTCCCCCTCTGGCCTCTCTCCTCTCTCCCCCTCTGGCCTCTCTCCCCCTCTGGTCTCTCTCTCCCTCTGGTCTCTCTCTCCCTCTGGTCTCTCTCCCTCTCTGGTCTCTCTCCCTCTCTCCCTCTGGTCTCTGTCTCGCTCTGGTCTCTCTCTCCCTCTGGTCTCTCTCTCCCTCTCTCCCTCTGGTCTCTCTCTCTCCCTCTCCCTCTGGTCTCCGTCTCGCTCTGGTCTCTCTCTCTCTCGCTCTGGTCTCTCTCCCCCTCTGGCCTCTCCTCTCTCCCCCTCTGGCCTCTCTCCCCCTCTGGCCTCTGGTCTCTCTCCCTCTCTCGCTCTGGTCTCTCTCTCCCTCTGGTCTCTCTCTCCCTCTCTCCCTCTGGTCTCTCTCTCCCTCTCTCCCTCTGGTCTCTCTCTCTCTCCCTCTCCCTCTGGTCTCCGTCTCGCTCTGGTCTCTCTCTCTCTCGCTCTGGTCTCTCTCTCTGGTCTCTCTCCCCCTCTGGCCTCTCCTCTCTCCCCCTCTGGCCTCTCTCCCCCTCTGGCCTCTGGTCTCTCTCCCTCTCTCCCTCTGGTCTCTCTCTCCCTCTGGTCTCTCTCTCCCTCTGGTCTCTCTCTCCCTCTGGTCTCTCTCCCTCTCTGGTCTCTGTCTCCCTCTGGTCTCTCTCTCCCTCTGGTCTCTCTCTCGCTCTGGTCTCTCTCTCGCTCTGGTCTCTCTCTCGCTCTGGTCTCTCTCTCGCTCTGGTCTCTCTCTCGCTCTGGTCTCTCTCTCGCTCTGGTCTCTCTCTCGCTCTGGTCTCTCTCTCTCGCTCTGGTCTCTCTCTCGCTCTGGTCTCTCTCTCGCTCTGGTCTCTCTCTCGCTCTGGTCTCTCTCTCGCTCTGGTCTCTCTCTCGCTCTGGTCCCTCTCTCGCTCTGGTCTCTCTCTCGCTCTGGTCTCTCTCTCGCTCTGGTCTCTCTCTCTTGCTCTGGTCTCTCTCTCTTGCTCTGTTCTCTCTCTCTCGCTCTGGTCCCTCTCTCGCTCTGGTCTCTCTCCCTCTCCCTCTACCTCTGGTCTCTCTCTCTCTCTCTCTCTCTCCCTCTGGTCTCCCTCTCGTTCTGGTTTCTATCTCTTGCTCTGGTCTCTCTCTCGCTCTGGTCCCTCTCTCGCTCTGGTCTCTCTCCCTCTCCCTCTACCTCTACCTCTGGTCTCTCTCTCTCTCTCTCTCTCTCTCTCTCCCTCTGGTCTCCCTCTCGCTCTGGTCTCTCTCTCGCTCTGGTCTCTCTCTCGCTCTGGGGTCTCTCTCGCTCTGGTCTCTCTCTCGCTCTGGTCTCTCTCTCGCTCTGGTCTCTCTCTCGCTCTGGTCTCTCTCTCGCTCTGGTCTCTCTCTCGCTCTGGTCTCTCTCTCGCTCTGGTCTCTCTCTCGCTCTGGTCTCTCTCTCGCTCTCATACCCTGGCTGGTCCTGGGGTTGTGGCCGACGATGGAGATGCCCAGACTCTGTCCTGGTTTCTTGTTCAGCGAGACTTCGTGGATCTCGTATCCCTCCAGGTTCAACTGCGAACATAAGGTTAGCATTGCGCTAGCAGGTTAGCATTGAGCTAGTGGGGTTAGCATTAAGTTAACATAGATGTATTTGAATATTGTCATAATACAAGTGTTGGCACAAACCGGTCTTGGCGGCGGTGCAGCGGGCGAGGCCAGTGCTGTGACGGGCGCGGAGTTTAGTAGAGGGGGCGGGGCCAACGCTGTGACAGGGGCGGAGTCTGGCAGTAGGGGCGGGGCCAGTGCAGACACAGGGGCGGAGCCTGGAGGAGGGGGCGGCCCGGCTGACCTCTGACCCCTGTAGTCACGGGCTATCACCATGGCAACGCGGCTGCCACAGGCTTGCAGCGCGGCCACCACCTGGTCACTGGTCAGATCTGCGGAGGGCGAGTCGCCGATGGACAAGATGTGGTCCCCGGTCCTGAGTCGGCCGTCCTGAGGAGAGAGGAGTTAGAGCCGCAAGCAGAGATGGACGACCCCAAGAAATACATTGACGCTTAGTGTTCACTATGAGCCAGGACCAGACCAGGACCAGGGTTGAGTACTCACTCTATGTGCCACACCCCCGGGGAGCAGCGTCCGCACCACCACTCCAGACTTCCCTCCAACGATCCCAAAACCAAGACCGGATCCATCGTTCACCAACTCGATCTCCTCCACATGTCCCCAAAGAGACTGCAGAGAGACCAAGGTTAGACCAGAGATCAGAGAGAGAGACCAGGGTTAGACCAGGGTTAGACCAGAGAGAGGGACCAGACTGAGACAAGAGCGATAGATCAGAGAGTGACAAGAAAGAGACCAAGGACCAGTGTCGAGATAGATAGTCCAGAGAGTCCAAAGAAAGAGACCATAGAGAGTGGATGTCAGAGAGGGACCAGAGAGAGACTAGAGCAAGAGACCAGAAGGATCAGAAAGAGAAAAAAGAGAAAGAGACCTAAAGCCTAGTGTATACTTGCGCGGCGTGGCTTACGTTAGCGGTTGCGGTGGACCTACGTAAGCACAATTGATGTTATACTGGCGCGTTCCCCTTACAGAGTTTTGAGGAGAATGTTGTAATCCCACAACAAACCACATGAGGGCGATCACACAGGAGCGGTCCCATTTACGCTGCTACTTTGTCCTCTTCAGAACAACAATAACAAACAAAGCTGTTTGAGCTCATTACACGTGTTTCTACTGTAGGTTTATGTGATAGTTTTATGGATTCATTATTTTATAAGTCATTTCAACTGTGATGCTGTGAATAAAGACACAGTTCTGTTGGAAACATAGTTATTATTAAATATTTTTCAGCACAAACAGCAAAACAATAATAGTGGTAAATATCAGACAAACATGAACAATTTACGAGTGCAGGAGGAAAGCAACAAACGCAGCTACGATTCAAACAAGACAGGAACAGTTTATAAGTTATATATACGTTATATATATGTTAGATTAAGTTATATATATATAACTTATATCTATATATATATAACTTATATCTTAACATATATGTTAGATATAAGTTATATATATATAACTTATATCTAACATATATATATATAACTTATATCTAACATATATATGTTAGATATAAGTTATATATATGGTTAGAGAGTCCACAGTCTCCTGTATATCAGGCTCTGAGCCCAAACTGCTTTTCCTTCGAAGCACAAAGCTCTCTGCTCCATAGTGCCTCGTCCATGCTCCTGCTGCAGCCGCTCCGTGCTTCCTTCCAACACACACACACGGACCAATCACAGCGGAGATTCCTTGCGGCGACCTTTACGTAGTTAGAAAATTTCGATGCTGCACGGCAGGCGACGTAAGGGCCTTGCGGTGACCAACGCGTTGCGCAAGTGACGTCACGTCACCTCCGTAAGCTCCGCGCGAGTATAAACTAGGCTTTAGAAATACCAGCGAGAGACCAGGGACTAAAGACCAGACAGACCAAAACAAAGCAGTGAGACAGGTGCAGAGGGACGGTGTCACATGATCAGAATGAGGGCGTGGCCTATCTGCCCAAACACACCCCCTATAAATGTCTTATATGGCTCTTAAATGCCTCTGCTGGCCTTGTCTCCGTACTATCCGGTTTCCGTGGTAACAGCCTAAAAGCAGTTGGGTTTTTCCACACCTCAGTCACAGCAAAGGTTTACATGAGTCTGTGCTATATCATTAAACTGGACTAAAGGAGAGAGATCCGGTCTCACTGAAGCTTTGGAAACTCAGTGATGAGAGCAGCGATAGAGACAAAGGGGCATTCATGAGAGAAGCCACAGAGGGAGGGAGGGGAGGAGAGAGGGGGGGGAGAGAGGGAGGGAGAGAGGGAGGGAGAGAGGGGGGAGAGAGGGAGGGAGAGAGGGGGGAGAGAGGGGAGGGAGAGAGGGAGGGAGAGAGGGAGGGAGAGAGGGAGGGAGAGAGGGAGGGAGAGAGGGAGGGAGAGAGGGGGGGGGAGAGAGGGGAGAGAGAGGGGGGGAGCGAGGGGAGAGAGAGAGGGGGGGAGAGAGAGGGGGGGAGCGAGGGGAGAGAGAGAGGGGGGGAGCGAGGGGAAAGAGAGAGGGGGGAGAGAGAGGGGGGAGAGAGAGGGGGGAGTGAGAGAGGGGGGAGAGAGAGGGGAGAGAGAGAGGGGGGAGAGGGGGAAGAGGGAGAGTCCCTTAAACATGATCTTGAGATGACTTTTTTTTAGAACATCATAGTCTGAGGCTTCACCACAGTGAAACATGTTTGAAAACAGTCTGTGGGGACAGAAGGGACGGGGGAGCTCCTGATAGTAGTGTGGGAGGAGCTAACCACCACCGTGTCCCCCTCAACCATTTCAAACTGCTTTTGATGTGACTCTTTTCTTCTTTAACAAGTATTTATCTGAGCAAAAAAACTAGCCCCTCCCCCTGCTGGAACCTAGCCCCTCCCTCTGCCGAGACCTAGCCCCTCCCCCTTCTGAGACCTAGCCCCTCCCTCTGCCGAGACCTAGCCCCTCCCTCTGCCGAGACCTAGCCCCTCCCTCTGCCGAGACCTAGCCCCTCCCTCTGCCGAGACCTAGCCCCTCCCCCTAGCTGAGACCTAGCACCTCACCCTGCTGCGACCTAGCCCCTCCCCCTGCTGAGACCTAGCCCCTCCTCCTGCGGCGACCTGGCCCCTCCCCCTACTGCGACATAGCCCCTCCCCCTGCTGAGACCTAGCCCCTCCCCTGTGTCTGCATGTTTCTCACCGTGTCGATGCGCGGCGTTGATGCTGCGGCGCTCTGTGGCCTCTCGCTCTTCTGCGTCACCCTGAGAGAGAGAGAGACCAAAGAGAGAGAACAGAGAGAGAGAGCAGAGAGAGAGAACAGAGAGAGAGCAGAGAGAGCGAGCGCAGAAAGAGAGAGCGCAGAAAGAGAGAGAGCAGAAAGAGAGAGAGCAGAAAGAGAGAGAGTCACATGTTTCTCCTCCCCTTGGAGCAGTAAAACTTTCCACAGCCTACAGTCTGACAGGGAGAGCTTCATTCACCCGAACACGGCTCCACGGCTCGTTACGCTGTCGTTATGCAAAGACTCGTACCTCTGGGCGGGGCTCTGGGTCTGGGTCTCTGGACTCGGGTCCCGGGCGATCACCAGCTCCACACAGTCCCCGCTCTGCAGCAGAGACAGCGCCTCCTGCTGGCTCACACCCTCCTTTAAAGCACGGCCGTTTATGACCAAGATCTGATCCCTCTGCTGCAGACCTCCACTCCTGAGGACAAGGAGAAAGAGGTCTGAAGGGGGTCTAAAGCAGGTCTAAAGCAGGACTAAAGCAGGACTAAAGCAGGTCTAAAGCAGGTCTAAAGCAGGTCTAAAGCAGGTCTAAAGCAGGTCTAAAGCAGGACAAAAGCAGGTCTAAAGCAGGTCTAAAGCAGGTCTAAAGCAGGACTAAAGCAGGACTAAAGCAGGACTGAAGCAGGACTAAAGCAGGTCTAAAGCAGGACTAAAGCAGGACTAAAGCAGGTCTAAAGCAGGACTAAAGCAGGACTAAAGCAGGTCTAAAGCAGGACAAAAGCAGGTCTAAAGCAGGTCTAAAGCAGGTCTAAAGCAGGACTAAAGCAGGACTAAAGCAGGACTGAAGCAGGACTAAAGCAGGTCTAAAGCAGGACTAAAGCAGGACTAAAGCAGGTCTAAAGCAGGACTAAAGCAGGACTAAAGCAGGACTGAAGCAGGACTAAAGCAGGACTAAAGCAGGACTAAAGCAGGTCTAAAGAAGGACTAAAGCAGGTCTAAAGCGGGACTAAAGCAGGTCTAGAGCAGGTCTAAAGCAGGTCTAAAGCAGGTCTAAAGCAGGACTAAAGCAGGACTAAAGCAGGACTGAAGCAGGTCTAAAGCAGGACTAAAGCAGGACTAAAGCAGGACTAAAGCAGGTCTAAAGCGGGACTAAAGCAGGTCTAGAGCAGGTCTAAAGCAGGTCTAAAGCAGGTCTAAAGCAGGACTAAAGCAGGTTTAAAGCAGGTCTAAAGCAGGACTAAAGCAGGACTAAAGCAGGACTAAAGCAGGACTAAAGCAGGACTGAAGCAGGTCTAAAGCAGGACTAAAGCAGGACTAAAGCAGGACTAAAGCAGGTCTAAAGCGGGACTAAAGCAGGTCTAGAGCAGGTCTAGAGCAGGTCTAAAGCAGGTCTAAAGCAGGTCTAAAGCAGGTCTAAAGCAGGTTTAAAGCAGGTCTAAAGCAGGACTAAAGCAGGACTAAAGCAGGACTAAAGCAGGACTAAAGCAGGACTGAAGCAGGTCTAAAGCAGGACTAAAGCAGGACTAAAGCAGGACTAAAGCAGGACTAAAGCAGGTCTAAAGCGGGACTAAAGCAGGTCTAGAGCAGGTCTAAAGCAGGTCTAAAGCAGGTCTAAAGCAGGTCTAAAGCAGGTTTAAAGCAGGTCTAAAGCAGGACTAAAGCAGGACTAAAGCAGGATTAAAGCAGGTCTAAAGCAGGACTAAAGCAGGTCAAAAGCAGGTTCAAAGCTGCCTGGACCTGGCCTGGACCTGGCCTGGACCCGGCCTGGACCTGGATCTCTCACCTCTGGGCCACACCTCCAGGCTGCACGTGCTTCACATAGACCCCTTGATAGCTGCTTCCCGCTGGGTTCAGTCCGACCACACTGAAGCCCAGACCTCCAGAGGGGGGACGGGGGAGGACCACACGCTCGGTTTGCCGGCCCTGCGACCAGAGAGGGGAGAGAGAGGGGTGAGAGAGGACCACCACGACCAGAGAGGGGTGAGAGAGGACCACCACGACCAGAGGGGGGTGAGAGAGGGGTGAGAGAGGACCACCACGACCAGAGAGGGGTGAGAGAGGACCACCACGACCAGAGGGGGGTGAGAGAGGACCACCACGAGAGAGGGGTGAGAGAGGACCACCACGACCAGAGAGGGGTGAGAGAGGACCACCACGACCAGAGAGGGGTGAGAGAGGACCACCACGACCAGAGGGGGGTGAGAGAGGACCACCACGACCAGAGGGGGTGAGAGAGGACCACCACGACCAGAGGGGGGTGAGAGAGGACCACCACGACCAGAGGGGGGTGAGAGAGGACCACCACGACCAGAGAGGGGTGAGAGAGGACCACCACGACCAGAGAGGGGTGAGAGAGGGGTGAGAGAGGACCACCACGACCAGAGGGGGGTGAGAGAGGACCACCACGACCAGAGAGGGGTGAGAGAGGACCACCACGACCAGAGAGGGGTGAGAGAGGTGAGAGGACCACCACGACCAGAGAGGGGTGAGAGAGGACCACCACGACCAGAGAGGGGTGAGAGAGGACCACCACGACCAGAGAGTGGTGAGAGAGGACCACCCCAAATTCAAACAGGACATTTTGACTCTGATGAACCTTTGCGTTGGCGATGATCCACTTGACCAGGTCGAAGGCAGGGGGCGGGGCCCGGGTGGGAGCAGGGCTGCGATTGGTCGGTGAGGACTCAGTGGGCGAAATCACAGAACTGAGGATCAGGTGACCTTTAGAGGAGAAGTTGAAGTCTGTATCTGCGGGAAAACTGTCGAGCTGAGGACGAGTCGCAGAAACACAGCCGTAAATATACAGAATACTGGAGTCTGTCAAATACAGCAGCAGCAGTAGCAGCAGCAGCAGCAGCAGTAGCATCAATAGCAGAAGCATCCGTAGCAGTAGCAGTAGTAGCAGCAGCAGCAGTAGTAGCAGTAGTAGCAGCAGCAGTAGCAGTAGCAGCAGCAGCATCAGCAGTAGCAGCAGCAGCAGTAGCAGTAGCAGCAGCAGTAGCAGCATCAGCAGCAGTAGCAGCAGTAGCAGCAGCAGCAGCAGCAGCAGCAGCAGTAGCAGCAGTAGTAGCAGCAGCAGCAGCAGCAGTAGCAGCAGCAGCAGCAGCAGCAGTAGCAGCAGTAGTAGCAGCAGCAGTAGCAGCAGTAGTAGCAGCAGCAGCAGTAGCAGCAGTAGTAGCAGCAGCAGCAGCAGCAGCAGCAGCAGTAGCAGCAGTAGTAGCAGCAGCAGTAGCAGCAGTAGTAGTAGCAGCAGCAGCAGTAGCAGCAGCAGCAGCAGTAGCAGCAGCAGTAGCAGTAACAGCAGCAGCAGCAGTAGCAGCATCAGCAGTAGCAGCAGCAGTAGCAGCAGCAGCAGTAGTAGCAGCAGCATCAGCAGTAGCAGCAGCAGTAGCAGCAGCAGCAGCAGCAGCAGTAGCAGCATCAGCAGTAGCAGCAGCAGTAGCAGCAGTAGTAGCAGCAGCAGTAGCAGCAGTAGTAGTAGCAGCAGCAGCAGTAGCAGCAGCAGCAGCAGTAGCAGCAGCAGTAGCAGTAACAGCAGCAGCAGCAGTAGCAGCATCAGCAGTAGCAGCAGCAGTAGCAGCAGCAGCAGTAGTAGCAGCAGCATCAGCAGTAGCAGCAGCAGCAGCAGCAGTAGCAGCAGCAGCAGTAGCAGCAGCAGTAGCAGTAACAGCAGCAGCAGCAGTAGCAGCATCAGCAGTAGCAGCAGCAGTAGCAGCAGCAGCAGTAGTAGCAGCAGCATCAGCAGCAGTAGCAGCAGCAGCAGCAGCAGTAGCAGCATCAGCAGTAGCAGCAGCAGTAGCAGTAGCAGCAGCAGCAGTAGAAGCAGTAGTACCTGGCTCTTCAGGGTCCTCAGTGACTGCTGTAGAGTCAGGATGTGGTTGAACAAAGGACTTTGCAGCGTCTCCTTCAGGTTCCTCATGTTGTCGCTGTGAGTCCACTCCTCTCTCTGCAGGAGTCGCACCTGAAGACGGTCCAGGGCAGACAGGACCTGCTGCTCCACTGAGACCAGAGAGAGACCAGAGAGAGACCAGAGCGAGACCAGAGAGAGAGACCAGAGAGAGAGACCAGAGAGAGACCAGAGAGAGAGACCAGAGAGAGAGACCAGAGAGAGACCAGAGAGAGAGACCAGAGAGAGAGACCAGAGAGAGACCAGAGAGAGAGACCAGAGAGAGAGACCAGAGAGAGAGCCCAGAGAGAGACCAGAGAGAGACCAGAGAGACCAGAGAGAGACCAGAGAGATACCAGAGAGAGACCAGAGAGATACCAGAGAGAGACCAGAGAGAGAGACCAGAGAGAGACCAGAGAGAGAGCCCAGAGAGAGACCAGAGAAGGACCAGCGGGAGAGCAGAGAAGGACCAGCGGGAGAGCAGAGAAGGACCAGCGGGAGAGCAGAGAAGGACCAGAGAGAAACCAGAGAGAGACCAGAGCGAGACCAGAGAGAGAGACCAGAGAGAGAGACCAGAGAGAGACCAGAGAGAGAGACCAGAGAGAGAGACCAGAGAGAAAGTTTAAAAAGAGTTAAAAACACATGTGACAAACCGTTACTTAAACCTTTGGATCAGATTTATGACTGTGCATCACATGAGTCTCAATGCGTTAAATAAAACATGTCAAACTCTGCATCAGAACTTATGTTTAATCTACAATAATATACGTTACCATTGTTTATTAAAAACCGTGCCACCTGTTACTAAAGTAGTTATTTTCACCTTAAAAAGGAGCTATAACCGTTTCTGCAAAGTTTTAATGTTTAGCCCCGCCCCCAACTCGCTCAGAGGCTTCTCATTTCTCCTACGCTCTCATTCCATGGAGCCTTCTAGTTTTATTTGTGATCTGATACGTATGCTAACATTAGCATTAGCACAACTTAAGCTGTAAAACAATCACTGATGAAATGGTACAAAAGCAACGCACGATAGATAGTCTGAGCGTAGATAGTCCGAGCGTAGATGGTCCGAGCGCAGATGGTCCGAGCGCAGATGGTCCGAGCGCAGATGGTCCGAGCGAGATGGTCCGAGCGCAGATGGTCCGAGCGCAGATGGTCCGAGCGCAGATGGTCCGAGCGCAGATGGTCCGAGCGCAGATGGTCCGAGCGCAGATGGTCCGAGCGCAGATGGTCCGAGCGCAGATGGTCCAAACGCAGATGGTCCGAACGCAGATGGTCCGAACGCAGATGGTCCGAACGCAGATGGTCCGAACGCAGATGGTCCGAGCACAGATGGTCCGAGCGCAGATGGTCCGAGCGCAGCACAGATAGTCCGAGTGCAGATGGTCCGAGCGCAGCACAGATAGTGCGAGTGCAGATGGTCCGAGCTGCTTCCTCAGTTTGACAAATAAGCTTTCCACAACAACAAGACTCACTTGGTTTGAAAGTCATTGGATTAAGTTACTCTGAAGTCAAGGTTTACTTTATTTCCCCCCTGTGAATAAATGTGATTTGACCCTAACTCTTCTACCGGAGCAGTGGTCGCCGTAGTAACAGGACGCTGATGCTCCACGGAGACCAGAGAGAGACCAGAGAGAGACCAGAGAGAGAGACCAGAGAGAGAGCCAGAGAGAGAGACCAGAGAGAGACCAGAGAGAGACCAGAGAGAGAGACCAGAGAGAGACCAGAGAGAGAGACCAGAGAGAGAGACCAGAGAGAGACCAGAGAGAGAGCCCAGAGAGAGAGCCCAGAGAGAGACCAGAGAGAGACCAGAGAGAGACCAGAGAGAGACCAGAGAGATACCAGAGAGAGACCAGAGAGAGACCAGAGAGAGACCAGAGAGAGAGACCAGAGAGAGACCAGAGAGAGAGCCCAGAGAGAGACCAGAGAAGGACCAGCGGGAGAGCAGAGAAGGACCAGCGGGAGAGCAGAGAAGGACCAGCGGGAGAGCAGAGAAGGACCAGAGAGAAACCAGAGAGAGACCAGAGCGAGACCAGAGAGAGAGACCAGAGAGAGAGACCAGAGAGAGACCAGAGAGAGACCAGAGAGAGAGACCAGAGAGAGAGACCAGAGAGAAAGTTTAAAAAGAGTTAAAAACACATGTGACAAACCGTTACTTAAACCTTTGGATCAGATTTATGACTGTGCATCACATGAGTCTCAATGCGTTAAATAAAACATGTCAAACTCTGCATCAGAACTTATGTTTAATCTACAATAATATACGTTACCATTGTTTATAAAAACCGTGCCACCTGTTACTAAAGTAGTTATTTTCACCTTAAAAAGGAGCTATAACCGTTTCTGCAAAGTTTTAATGTTTAGCCCCGCCCCCAACTCGCTCAGAGGCTTCTCATTTCTCCTACGCTCTCATTCCATGGAGCCTTCTAGTTTTATTTGTGATCTGATACGTATGCTAACATTAGCATTAGCACAACTTAAGCTGTAAAACAATCACTGATGAAATGGTACAAAAGCAACGCACGATAGATAGTCTGAGCGTAGATAGTCCGAGCGTAGATGGTCCGAGCGCAGATGGTCCGAGCGCAGATGGTCCGAGCGCAGATGGTCCGAGCGCAGATGGTCCGAGCGCAGATGGTCCGAGCGCAGATGGTCCGAGCGCAGATGGTCCGAGCGCAGATGGTCCGAGCGCAGATGGTCCGAGCGCAGATGGTCCGAGCGCAGATGGTCGAGCGCAACAAACGCAGATGGTCCGAACGCAGATGGTCCGAACGCAGATGGTCCGAACGCAGATGGTCCGAACGCAGATGGTCCGAGCACAGATGGTCCGAGCGCAGATGGTCCGAGCGCAGCACAGATAGTCCGAGTGCAGATGGTCCGAGCGCAGCACAGATAGTCCGAGTGCAGATGGTCCGAGCTGCTTCCTCAGTTTGACAAATAAGCTTTCCACAACAACAAGACTCACTTGGTTTGAAAGTCATTGGATTAAGTTACTCTGAAGTCAAGGTTTACTTTATTTCCCCCCTGTGAATAAATGTGATTTGACCCTAACTCTTCTACCGGAGCAGTGGTCGCCGTAGTAACAGGACGCTGATGCTCTTCGGGACCAGAGCTGGAGGATTTCACATATTTACATCTTTTTAGAGGCAAGGCAAACCAGAGGAAAACTACGCAGGCACGGGGAGAACATGCAAACTCTACTCAGAAAGACCCTGTTCCGAGCGGGACTCAAACCCAGAGAAGTGATGGAGCAAACCCAAGTTAGAGGTCGGAGAGAAAGACACTCACCGGTCGGAACATTATCCAACATGATTCTGCAGATCTGGAAACACAAACACATCATCGATATGTAGTTTGCAATTAGAAAATCTGTGGCTAAAGTCACGTCCCCCAGCTTTAATAACCGCAGCGTTGCCGGGACAACATTCCTCTTTTGTCGTGTGACTAAAGCTGAAACTCTTATCTCTGCTTTATTTACAAAAGACAAAGTGCGACACACGTTATCGGCTCCAAACACAGAACTCCAGCTTCATTCCCACGACTGGGAATCATTTTCACACAAGTATCTGTACTTTTGTTTTGGAATCGTAATTCCTTGGTTCAATTTGAGTCTTCATAACTTTGTGACGTTTAAGTTTCTTTATTTCTACAGTTTGTTTATTATGTCATTGTTTTTGTGTAATTCTCTGTCACTTTTGAAATGTGAGTCGTTCCATCTTTGACTCATCTCTAACTTGAAGGTACATTTCCAATTGAGCCATTTCTGGTTGCTTGATGGTAACCAACATTCTATGGCAGTTATAGAAGGATTTTCTACATTCGGATCATCAATATTATTGGTCCTCCCACTTGTCAATCATTCTGGTGATTCGTGCTCGTCAAATAAGACCAGAGAGCTTTGTTCAAAAATTGGAAAGGGAGGTTCTTTCCTAAAAATTGAGAAAATCCTCCTCTAGGCCATTAATGCCCCTTGTCCAGGTGCTGGTCCTGGTTCTGAGCAGAGCCAGTTTATTTTCACCAGTTTGAACACTCATAAAACCTTTTAAAAACTTGTTTATTCATGTGGTTGAAAACTAAACATTTTGGGGGTAGTTTCAGAATTTGCGGCGGGCTGTCGTATCACTGCTGACCCCTCTCACGCTCTCCCCTCGGGCAGGACACTACGGTCCATCAGGAACAGAACCTCCCTCCATAAGAATAGTTTCTTCCCCTCATGCACACTTCATAAACATCACTGACCTCTGACCTTACGAGCATCACTTTACTGCACTCTAAAGGGTCTATTGTGTGCACCTAGAACTTGTGTACAGTAAACTGAAGACATTTATGTAGATTTTTATTTAAGCATGCCTTTGATTTTATTCTGCTTTAACTTGTTTGCACCGAGAGACAAAGCAATTTCCTAGTTTGTGACTTCTTGTTACTGACATGTCATTAAACGGATTCTGATTCTGATGAAGTTCACAGACTGGTACGTTTGCCCCTCCGTGTCTTAAAAAGTACTGAAATATTACAGCAACTAGTCGTATCTAGTTCAACATGTCTTATCTATATGTAAAAAGTGCATATGTTGTTATTGTACGTGATGTGACACTGATACACACATGTCCTTTCCCGCGGACTTTGATCTGTAGTAAAGATACAATAAACCAGCCATTCCCAAACTCGGTAACACCGAGGCCCCCTTAAAAATCTGACGGGTCTGCGTGGCCCCCCAAAATAATAACCAAGAAGACAACATTAAGAATAGGCTCTTCTGGTTATTTTTTTTTGGGAAAATAGCCTCTGCTACAAACATTGTAATACAAAAATGATTACAGTGGATTATTGAAGTCAAATAATGAGCACAAATATTTTAATATTACAAACAAAACAGTATAAATTTAACATTAAATAATTATATTATTTTTTTATTTTTTTTATGACCTCCCGCGGCCCCCCTGCAGTACCCTCGCGGCCCACCAGGGGGCCGCGGACCCCACTTTGGGAGACACTGCAATAAACAAATACATCTCACCTGTGCGTCACCTGTGCGTCAACCAGGAAGTGAAACTGCACGTAAACAAAGGGCGGAATCAACAGAAGAAACAGAATAACACTTTATTCTACGTCATTTCATCACGATCTCTGGAAACACAAAAACCCTTTAACCACCACAGATCTGTGTGCTCTGCGGCAGGTGCACGGGCACAAACATGTCAAAATAGTTAGAATTATCAGCTCAAGACGTATAATGACAACAATGCAGACGAGTGTACAGGGGTATGACAGGTGTGTGCGTGTGTTTTGGGAGTTTTCGTGCTTTACATTGGCAGGAAAACGACTTAAATGTCCAGTTTCATGAAGCTAGAGCCCAAAAGCTACGATCGCTTCACTCCTTAGCTGCATCCAAAACCACAATCCACACTCTCCGTATCATTCCTTCGTCTCACTCTTTTTCTTGATGGCATTAGTTTTTCTCAAAAAAGGTATAAGAATAGACTTAACATATTAGTATTATTCACTGGACCAAATCTGGAGCAGCTCTATTCGAAAAAAATATTAGTTTAGCATGACGAGGAACCAGAACGAGGTCGTGTTTTATTGTGATTTCGGACGCAGCCGCGGTCTTCGCTGCTAACACCAGACGAGCTGAATCGCGATGTTAAAAGTGATTAAAATGGTTTTACATGCTCAGACTTTATTGTGAAATGTTGTGTGAGAGTGTGTGAGAGTGTGGACAGCGCAGACAGCCCGGAAAAACACAAATGAAAGTGAATAAAAGTGGATAAAAGTGGATATAAACTCACAACATCAGCGCAGAGGCGTGGGTCTGTCCAGTGTTCTGATGAGGCTTTCAGGGACCGTGGGAGAAATTACAATCAGCGACTACAGCAGCGTAAACTGGGGATATGTTTACAACCGTTATCCCATTCTATTGTAAATATGTATGAAATCACTCTCTATTGAATCATTATTAAATTCATATGTTATTTTAACGTTTGCACCACTGTGAAAGAAGTCCATCATTCAATTCAAATAACTTGTCTATGTCACTAAATCACAACGAGGCTCTCACCTAGAGGACCAGACCCCGTCAGACCAGCTACTGTCAGGCCTCTGAGGCTGAGCGGGACAGGGCCTGGTTGAAATTCTGATGGGAGGCCTCTAGGAACTCATTAGGGCACATTGGTGTCAAACTGTTATTGTGTCCTCAGGCAAGCCACCCATCAATGACACATACATTTGTCCCTTTTTCTGTCTCTTTAAGTATTTATTTATTTATTAATCTACCTTCTACTTCTAGCTCCATTCATTTGACTGTAAAATTCAAAGTTAGTCATTATCCGTTGCTTGATAACAGTATTTTAAATACTGGTTCTGAGCCGTGTCAGCTTGGTTTTCCAGTACAAAAGAGACAGTACTAGTTACCATAGCAACACTCTTTTTACTGCCAGCAGTTAGCATTTGTCTTTCAACAAACAGTTTGCTGTTTTTCAAGTTTAATCAAACAGTTGTATCACTGAGTATAAGATAATATTGGTTTTAAAAATCTTTCTGTGGACCCACCACCTGCAGAGGATAGGCGAGGGACTGGTGCTATGAGACTTGGGTGGCAGCTCTCATTGCCACCCTCCGACCCAGAAATGGAATAATAAAGGGGTAAAGAGGTGACATGACATGATGACAGGTTTAAAAAAAAAGCCTCTTAATAAATATGTTGGTAATTTTTCAGAATACCATTGGTTTGAATGGGATTTGTCTAAATAACGGCACTTGTTCTAGTAGCTTAAGAATCAGTGATGAGTAAAAGTGATGACAGCATCATCAGTCACTCCAACACGGCTGTTGACTAGTGATGGCAATATGAAGCCCCATGAAGCCTTGAGGGATCGCAGCCTATTACTCGGCCCATGAGTCGAAGGCTCAAGGTGAATCATGCTCCACTACGCCATCATGTGGACAAAGAAATACATAACACTCTTTCCTGCCAGCAACGCCAAATGTGACATAACGAGGGTTAAAAGTACAGGTTAGAAATTTTGCTATTGTCAACAACGCCACCTAGGATAGGCCTAGGACCCTGCACAAGGCAGACACAGGTTCGCTTCCCTTTTTAAAGTGATGGGGGCAGAGACAAAACCAAAACTCGACTACAAAAGTACAAAATTTATTTTCATTAAAACATTTTTAAGTTAGGAACATTTGATTAATACTGGTAATTGCCAAAAGCCAAACACAAAAAAACACATGCACACACACACACACACACGCAAAGAACAAAGAAAAAAAAGAGATTAAACAATCCTAAACTCAATTACAGTTAAAATGTACAAATTTACAGTTTGGGTGTCCAGGTGCTCTGTGGGCCTAATATTGATGCTCAGTGTCCACAACTGGAGCGACTCTGGCCTGTGGGGTCAATCCAGAGCAGTGGAGGCAGGAGGAGAAGTGCTTACAATGAATGGTGAGATCTAATGTTAAAATGTATATTTACAATCTATGGTCTAACGTGTTGTGTTTGAAATGATGCTTCATGAACTATGAACTATTTGAGTCTTTCAGTCAATTGTGTTGATACAACAAACACATCCAAAGTAATACAGTTCTACAGAAAGTGATTAATGGAGGAAAAACTACCAAGAGGTGGATTAATTAAACACAACAAACCATTTATTCCCAATAAATAAATACATTTACTTTGCAACACAAAATTTATTATGGGTAGACCAGGATTCGAACGCTATATCTTCTGCTTCGGAGTCCGTCATAGACCGACTGCGCCACACAGCTGTTGTGAAATGTATTATCCAGCGTATTATTACTAATAACTTGAAGCCTTGATATATGAGGTTTTACTAAAGTGAAAAGTTTTTAATTGTATTTCATATGAAGTAGTTTCTCTATACTTAGTACAGGACTGCTCCACATCACGCACACACACGTACGCACACACACACGTACGCACACAGAGGCAGACGGGGACAGCCAATACAGTCTATGGTACAGCCGCGGATCACAAAGCACCTGTCAAAGCAATGCACTCTCCGAACTATATGAAGCACTATATGAACCGTCACGTGGTGCGGCCGCTACGCGAGGCTTCGAACGTCACCACACACGTGACCAATACACGCCTCGACCCACACTTCACAAGAAACGCCCCCAGATTACTCGGTCCACGCTTCGAAGACTCGGTCCGCTCAGCACATCACTACTGTTGACATGTTGTCATGGAAACACGTGCCACCGCTGCTGCTACACGTTCGAAATCTGAAATAGTAATAATACCTAAGTCCCTCTAACCAATAAGTGATAGTCCCAAAACACATTTCTTAAATACAAACTTTTGGAGCCATCCCCGGAAGTGTGGTCCAGTCACGTGCCTCCCCATCAGCTCCAACATGGCGGCCTACGGGAGCTGGTTTCGCTCTTCCATCTGCAGTTTATTTCTGTACGCGCTATATTCGGACCTGGAGCTGGTTCTGACGCATGACCCGGAGAGCTGCGAGTCTCTGCGGCTGGGACAATATCCTTTTTCAGCTGGAAACATGTGAATATTCCAGTGCTTTAGCGCCAAAGACCCCAAGGCTAACAGTGGCTAACAGCAGCTAGCGCCCAGCCACAGACGTAAACAAAGCAGATTGCGTTTATAGCCATGCTTCTGCTCGTGTGTCACTTGTACATATGTGCCTTAAGAGTATGTTTTAGGTTAAATCTATACAACGTGGGAAGAAATCTATTGTGTGGGGCTCATATATGTACGTATATATAAAAGTAAACACAACGTTACACCCAGTGTTACGTGTTGTTCAGATCCACATGTTGCAGTGCGTGTTCTGCTTTAGAGCACGCACAGATCATGACACAATACAATTGTTTTCAATGAGTAATGATTTTTGCACGTTTTCTTTCTCAACTGATTCTGAACATATTTGTGCAAAGAGCCAAAGATCAATGAAGCCACACAGGAGCCGGAGACGTGTAAGGACGCGGTGGCCTGGGGTGAGCGTCAGTGGAGTCTGCTGTAGTCTTCCAAACTTTTGAACAGCTCTAAATTACAACAGCAGTCGTCCAGGGGACAAAGTTGTTGGTTCGATCTGAGGCTGTAGATACAGGACTGAGGCTGTAGACCCAAGACTGCTACTGTAGACCCAGGACTGCTACTGTAGACCCAGGACTGCTACTGTAGACCCAGGACTGCTGCTATAGACCCAGGACTGAGGCTGTAGACCCAGGACTGAGACTGTAGACCCAGGACTGAGGCTGTAGACCCAGGACTGAGGCTGTAGACCCAGGACTGAGGCTGTAGACCCAGGACTGAGGCTGTAGACCCAGGACTGAGGCTGTAGACCCAGGACTGAGGCTGTAGACCCAGGACTCAGGCTGTAGACCCAGGACTCAGGCTGTAGACCCAGGACTGAGGCTGTAGACCCAGGACTGAGGCTGTAGACCCAGGACTGAGGCTGTAGACCCAGGACTGAGGCTGTAGACCCAGGACTCAGGCTGTAGACCCAGGACTCAGGCTGTAGACCCAGGAGAGATTCAAGTACCGTTAAAGTACAGATGTCTGCACTCAACACACTGCAATGTTGGCCTTGAAGGGGACCTTTCACATGTATCTTTAGTGTGTTCTCTTTAGCATGACGTAACGTTAGCGTGTTGTCTCCACAGTGGAATGTCTGCCCGCTCCTAACGTCACGTGTCGTTTGTCAAACGGCTCTGAGTTCAGATTCAGTGGAGACGAAGTCGGATTCAACAAAACCATCTCCTGCAGGAATGTGTGAGTGTCGCTATGGCAACTGTATACTCTATAACCCCTAGCCCTCTGTGTGTGTGTGTTATCCTCACGTCCTCTAGTGTGTGTGTGTGTTATCCTCATATCCTATTGTGTGTGCCTGCAGGAGCGGTTACTCGTACAAAGTGGCGGTGGCTCTGTCCCTGTTCCTGGGCTGGCTCGGAGCAGACCGGTTCTACCTGGGGTATCCTGCTCTGGGTGAGACATGAGCGACGGAGAAACTGTTCAGAGTCACATTGGCTCACAATGAAACACACAGATGATAAAGTATTGCGATACTTAAAGGTGGATAGGAGGATTTTCCCAAAATTAGGAAAGAACCGCTCTCTCCACTTTTTGAACAAAACTCTCTGGTCTTATTTAACGAGCTCGTATCACCAGAATGATTGACAACTGTGAGGACCAATCGTCTTGATGATCCACCCGGAAGTAGTAAATCCTCCTCTATACCTTTAAATAATTATCTGTTTCACTTCAGTGTTTTCTCTGAGTTTCCTCTGGTCATTTCCATCTGACGTTTATGTGACTCTATGGTGTCTGTTGTGACTCTGATGTCTGTTGTGACTCTATGTCTGTCGTGACTCTATGACGTCTGTTGTGACTCTATGATGTCTGTTGTGACTCTATGGTGTCTGTCGTGACTCTATGGTGTCTGTTGTGACTCTATGGTGTCTGTTGTGACTCTATGGTGTCTGTTGTGACTCTATGGTGTCTGTTGTGACTCTGATGTCTGTTGTGACTATGGTGTCTGTTGTGACTCTATGGTGTCTGTTGTGACTTTGATGTCTGTCGTGACTCTATGACGTCTGTTGTGACTCTATGATGTCTGTTGTGACTCTATGGTGTCTGTCGTGACTCTATGGTGTCTGTTGTGACTCTGATGTCTGTTGTGACTCTATGGTGTCTGTTGTGACTCTGATGTCTGTTGTGACTCTATGACGTCTGTTGTGACTCTATGATGTCTGTTGTGACTCTATGGTGTCTGTCGTGACTATGTCTGTTGTGACTCTATGGTGTCTGTTGTGACTCTATGGTGTCTGTTGTGACTCTATGGTGTCTGTTGTGACTCTATGGTGTCTGTTGTGACTCTATGGTGTCTGTTGTGACTCTGATGTCTGTTGTGACTATGGTGTCTGTTGTGACTCTATGGTGTCTGTTGTGACTCTATGACGTCTGTTGTGACTCTATGGTGTCTGTTGTAACTCTATGGTGTCTGTTGTGACTCTATGATGTTTGTTGTGACTCTATGGTGTCTGTTGTGACTCTATGGTGTCTGTTGTGACTCTGATGTCTGTTGTGACTCTATGGTGTCTGTTGTGACTCTGATGTCTGTTGTGACTCTATGGTGTCTGTTGTGACTCTATGGTGTCTGTTGTGACTGATGTCTGTTGTGACTCTATGATGTCTGTTGTGACTCTATGACGTCTGTTGTGACTCTATGACGTCTGTTGTGACTCTATGGTGTCTGTTGTGACTCTATGGTGTCTGTTGTGACTCTATGGTGTCTGTTGTGACTCTGATGTCTGTTGTGACTCTATGACGTCTGTTGTGACTCTCTGGTGTCTGTTGTGACTCTATGGTGTCTGTTGTGACTCTATGACGTCTGTTGTGACTCTCTGGTGTCTGTTGTGACTCTATGGTGTCTGTTGTGACTCTATGACGTCTGTTGTGACTCTATGGTGTCTGTTGTGACTCTATGGTGTCTGTTGTGACTCTATGGTGTCTGTTGTGACTCTGATGTCTGTTGTGACTCTATGACGTCTGTTGTGACTCTCTGGTGTCTTTTGTGACTCTATGGTGTCTGTTGTGACTCTATGGTGTCTTGTCTGTCAGTTCTTGTACAGATCCTAATAAATGCGATATTTGAGTCGTTAATTTTCTCAATTTTTGTAATCTCAAAATATCACCACACTGTCTGTGCTGTCTGTGCTGTCTGTGCTGTCTGTACTGTCTGTACTGTCTGTGCTGTCTGTACTGTCTGTGCTGTCTGTGCTGTCTGTGCTGTCTGTGCTGTCTGTGCTGTCTGTACTGTCTGTACTGTCTGTGCTGTCTGTGCTGTCTGTACTGTCTGTGCTGTCTGTGCTGTCTGTACTGTCTGTGCTGTCTGTGCTGTCTGTGCTGTCTGTGCTGTCTGTGCTGTCTGTGCTGTCTGTGCTGTCTGTGCTGTCTGTACTGTCTGTACTGTCTGTGCTGTCTGTACTGTCTGTACTGTCTGTACTGTCTGTGCTGTCTGTGCTGTCTGTACTGTCTGTGCTGTCTGTGCTGTCTGTGCTGTCTGTACTGTCTGTGCTGTCTGTACTGTCTGTGCTGTCTGTGCTGTCTGTACTGTCTGTGCTGTCTGTACTGTCTGTGCTGTCTGTACTGTCTGTGCTGTCTGTGCTGTCTGTGCTGTCTGTACTGTCTGTACTGTCTATGCTGTCTGTACTGTCTATGCTGTCTGTACTGTCTGTACTGTCTGTGCTGTCTGTACTGTCTGTGCTGTCTGTACTGTCTGTACTGTCTGTACTGTCTGTGCTGTCTGTACTGTCTGTACTGTCTGTGCTGTCTGTGGCTGTCTGTGACTGTCTGTGCTGTCTGTGACTGTCTGTGCTGTCTGTACTGTCTGTGCTGTCTGTACTGTCTGTGCTGTCTGTGGCTGTCTGTGCTGTCTGTGGCTGTCTGTGCTGTCTGTGCTGTCTGTGACTGTCTGTGCTGTCTGTGGCTGTCTGTGACTGTCTGTGCTGTCTGTGGTGTCTGTGACTGTCTGTACTGTCTGTGCTGTCTGTGGCTGTCTGTGCTGTCTGTGCTGTCTGTGGCTGTCTGTGCTGTCTGTGGCTGTCTGTGCTGTCTGTGCTGTCTGTGGCTGTCTGTGCTGTCTGTGCGGTCTGTGGCTCTGTGCTGTCTGTGCTGTCTGTGACTGTCTGTGGCTGTCTTTGTCAAGAGTCACAATAATATAGAATTGTGCCCCGAATATTGCAATACTATCAAATTGTCTAATTTTTTGACAAATCCCTCTCTCTCTCGCTGTGTGTGTGTGTGTGATCTGATCCCAGGTCTGCTGAAGTTCTGCACTGTGGGTTTCTGTGGCATCGGGACTCTCATCGATTTCATCCTCATCGCCATGCAGGTCAGAGTGTGTATCTACTCTCAGAGTGTGTATCTACTCTCAGAGTGTGTATCTACTCTCAGAGTGTGTATCTACTCTCAGAGTGTGTATCTACTCTCAGAGTGTGTGTCTACTCTCAGAGTGTGTGTCTACTCTCAGAGTGTGTGTCTACTCTCAGAGTGTGTGTCTACTCTCAGAGTGTGTGTCTACTCTCAGAGTGTGTGTCCTCTCTGAGTGTGTGTCCTCTCTGAATGTGTGTCCTCTCTCAGAGTGTGTGTCTACTCTGAGTGTGTGTCCTCTCTCAGATTGTGTGTCGTGTTTCTCATTGTGTGTTGTGTGTCTCAGATTGTGTATTGTGTGTCTCAGATTGTGTGTCGTGTGTCTCAGATTTTGTGTTGTGTGTCTCAGATTGTGTGTCTTCTCTCAGATTGTGTGTTGTGTGTCTCAGATTGTGTGTCGTGTGTCTCAGATTGTGTGTCTTCTCTCAGATTGTGTGTCTTCTCTCATTGTGTGTCGATTGTGGGTCCGGCTGACGGCTCTCACTACATCGTGGATTATTATGGCGCTCGTCTCACTCGACTGTCAATCACCAACGAGACGTTCAGGAAGCCGCACCTGTCGCTGTGACCACGCCCCTCCCACAGACCACGCCCCCTCTTCGACCACACCCCATCTCTCAGACCACGCCCAAGTGGATTCCCTGTTGCAGAACACATTACCATAGATGGTGTTGGCTTCTGACTTTTTGGACACGGATGTAAACAACACGCTGATCCTGTATTTATTTATTGTTTTAGTTGTAAATAAAGTTTCTGTTTCATTTCTTATTGAATCTCAAACGTCTCGTCATAAACCGCAGCAGACATCACAACGCCACAGTTTCCACCGACAGCATCAAGTCTGACCATAACATTAGAGCAGGTTCAAAACTTTAAAGCTCAGGGACGTAACTTTAAAGTGATAGTCTGTAACTCTAAATGAATTACACTTTTTAGTAAATGTGTTAAATTGACCTCCTGGCCTTAAATGTTGATATAAAATTAGTCATTTTATTAATTCCAATATTACGGGCAAGTCCCGCCTTCCCTTCTCTTAGCTATAGCTCAGAATCCACGGTGCCGTCCACGTTAACCAATCACGTGATGCCAACGGCTGTCAATCATTGCGCTGATGCTCGTAGCTGCTCATGCTCAGTACTATACAATACTGAACCTATATCCATAATCATTTATATACTGAACCTATATCCACAATAGGATTGTGGATAATTTGTGGATTTGGAGAAGGCGTTCGACCGTGTTCCCCGGGGTGTCCTTTGGGGGGGTCCTCCGGGAGTACGGGGTCCGGGGTCCTCTGCTGAGGGCCGTCCGGTCCCTGTATGACCGGAGTCAGAGCTGTGTTCGCATTGCCGGCAGTAAGTCAGACCTGTTCCCGGTGCATGTTGGCCTCCGCCAAGGCTGCCCTTTGTCACCGGTTCTGTTCACTGTATTTATGGACAGAATTTCTAGGCGCAGCCAGGGGCCGGAGGGGGTCCGGTTCGGGAACCACAGGATTTCATCTCTACTTTTTGCGGATGATGTCGTCCTGCTGGCTCCAACGAACCAGGACCTGCAGCATGCACTGGGACGGTTTGCAGCCGAGTGTGAAGCGGCTGGGATGAGAATCAGCACCTCCAAATCCGAGGCCATGGTGCTCGACCGGAAAAAGGTGCCTTGCCCTCTTCAGGTGGGTGGAGAGGTCCTTCCTCAAGTGGAGGAGTTCAAGTATCTCGGGGTCTTGTTCACGAGTGAGGGAAGGATGGAGCGTGAGATTGACAGGCGGATCGGTGCAGCGTGCGCAGTGATGCGGTCTCTGTATCGGACGGTTGTGGTAAAGAGGGAGCTGAGCCGAAAGGCGAAGCTCTCGATTTACCGGTCAATCTTCGTTCCCTCCCTCACCTATGGTCATGAGCTTTGGGTAATGACCGAAAGAACGAGATCGCGGATACAAGCGGTCGAAATGAGCTTCCTCCGCAGAGTGGCTGGGCGCTCCCTTAGAGATAGGGTGAGGAGCTCAGTCACACGGGAGGAGCTCGGAGTAGAGCCGCTGCTTCTCCACGTCGAGAGGAACCAGTTGAGGTGGCTCGGGCATCTGTTCAGGATGCCTCCTGGACGCCTTCCTGGGGAGGTGTTCCGGGCACGTCCCACCGGGAGGAGGCCCCGGGGAAGACCCAGGACACGCTGGAGAGACTATGTCTCTCAGCTGGCCTGGGAACGCCTTGGGGTCCCCCCGGACGAGCTGGAGGAGGTGTGTGTGGATAGGGAAGTCTGGGCGTCTCTGCTTAGACTGCTGCCCCCGCGACCCGGCAACGGATAAAGCGGAAGAAAATGGATGGATGGATGGATATATCCACAATCATTTATATACTGAACCTATATCCACAATCATTTATATATGAACCTATATCCATAATCATTTATATATGAACCTATATCCATAATCATTTATATATGAACCTATATCCATAATTGCCGCGATCGCTTTTTTGTGCATAAAAACATAATTTTTCATTAAAACGTTAACAAATAATTCTGAAAACCTCCGTGCATGTGTATTAATAATGTACATGTATAATGTGTTCTCTGATTAACATTTAAATGTGTTATGGAAACATAGGTGTAGACCAATCAGAAAGGAAGGGGGAGGAGCTTGCGTGGTTTTTTTTTTCAATTCAAGTACCTCTCTCTCTTTTACTGACAAACTCCAGACAATCACTTTAAAGCTGGGGTATGTGACTTTAAAGCTGGGGTGTGTGACTTTAAAGCTGGGGTGTGTGACTTTAAAGCTGGGGTGTGTGACTTTAAAGCTGGGGTGTGTGACTTTAAAGCTGGGGTGTGTGACTTTAAAGCTGGGGTATGTGACTTTCAGACCAGTAGAACTCTAACAAACCCAGGTCTCTAGTTCTGGCTCTAAAACAGTTGCTTCTATCACTAGTTTTTCTGTATTTCTGTCTCACATCTTAAGATCAGATTTGTCAGACAGAAAAGTGACAAAGAGAGGACCACCCTCTCTCGGCCAATCAGTTCTCTGCCTGAAGAGTCCAATAGTGACTCACAGGGATCTTTCTGCTCTGTAAACTCTGAGGCTTCGATCTGAGAATCGACAGACGACAGACAGGAGTCGATCTGCAGCGGATTCAGAGACAGAGCCAAGAATCGACCCGAAGACCCGAGGGACCGAGACCAGGACTGAGACCAAAGAGAGACCAGACCAGGGCCAGGACTGAGACCAGATCAGGACCAAGATTGAGACCAGAGAGACCAGGAGTGAGACCGGAGAGAGAAAGCCTAAAGAAAGAGACCGGAGGGCCCTGGTCCTGGTCTCTAGTCTGGACTCTGGTCTGGACTCGGGTCTTTCCTGCGGTGGTATCGGCCTCAGACCTTTTGTGCAGCAGTTGTTTGAAGTCCAGTGGAGAAAAAAAGCTAAAAGGCAAAAGAGTTTTTCTGCTGAGCGCGGCACAAACGCATCGATCCAGAGTCTGTGTGTGTGTGCGTGAGAAAGAGTGTGTGTGTGTGTGTGCGTGAGAGAAAGAGTGTGTGTGTGTGTGTGCGTGAGAGAAAGAGTGTGTGTGTGTGTGTGTGCAAGAAAGAGTGTGTGTGTGTGTGCGTGAGAAAGAGTGTGTGTGTGTGTGCGTGAGAAAGAGCGTGTGTGTGCGAGAGAGTGTGTGTGCGTGAGAAAGAGCCTATGTGTGCGAGAGAGTGTGTGTGTGTGTGTGCGTGAGAGAGAGTGTGTGTGTGTGTTTGCAAGAAAGAGTGTGTGTGTGCGTGAGAGATAGAGTGTGTGAGATGTGTCGTCCCCACAAAGCAGAGATACCAAAGGGCCTGTGTCCGTCTGCTCCAAACACACACACACACACACACAGAGAGAGAGACACACACTCACACAGAGAGAGAGAGACACACACACACACCTACCAGATGGTTTCCCTGGTTTGTGGGGACACTGATTTTACACTTCCGCAGACTGACCTCAACATTAAAGCTGCAGCACCTCAATTTCACTTCCTGCAGAAGATTTCATTACAATTAAATAAATAAAAGTATGAGGAAGTAGTAAACCCAGCAGGATCAATACGCCGTTTGAGTTAGAAGTGTGTCTTTAACAGTGGGGTAGGGTGCCAGCTCAAAAGTGGCCAAAATGACGTGCGCTGACATGCTGCAATACCACCCCGGGCCTGTGGGGGTGGACCCAGAAGTAGAATTAGCCAATGCTAACATATAGCATTGGCAGACCTCTCAAAAACGTCTTTACAGGATGGTCCAAAAGTTGTCTCTTGGCCCAAAGCTCCGTTCCACATGTGTGTCAATGCTGAGGGAGTGTTCTGGACCAGTCTAGTTTAGTCGCTGTGAATTTTTGAAGTCTCTCGTTCAAATGAATAGAGCAGCGCCGGCTGACGCATGCACAGATGTGTTTTTTCACAATTTTCTTGTGGGCGGGACCACTCGCGGCCATTTTGGATAGCTCCAGGAGAGCACATTTTTTGGCTCATTAGTTAGAACGGCGGAGATAGGCGTGACTCTGTCCGTTAATATATACAGTCTATGGTCTTTAACTGAGACTTATACAGACGATGCTTCATGTTTTTTCTTTGATTTCCCTCAAACCGATGTGAGAAAGACGCTGCTCTGAGTCAGTTTGAGACAGAGACTTGGCACACGTTTACAACCCAGAGATCAAAGCTTTTAAACATACTATTTCCATATTCAGAAATTCAATGCTTTTCAAGGATAAATATTCTGCTAAATCCTCATTCTCTCTTTCCTCCGTGTTCCAACACACAGACCTGGAGTTGTGTTTAGATCCATCATGTGACAGTATGACGTCATTGTACCACTGTGACATCACACTCAGGGCACTTCTCTTTAAAACAAAAGTATTGTACATAAATGAGTTTAGGGGATTTCTCAAATGACATGTCGTTCTTTACAATTATCCGTCTGTGTTTTTGTCCTCTGACGTTCAGGACATGCCTCAGTGTGGTCTGTCTCTGGTCTCTCTGGTTTCTATATCAGGTCTCTCTCCCTAGTCTCTTTCTGGTGTCTCTCTCCTGGTATATTTCTGGTCCAAAAGTATTGCCCATAAATTCGTTTTAATTAATTTCTGTAATGTGTACTATCACATGTCAGTGTTTTCAGCTCCCTCTGGTGGCACCATAGGGAGCTGCAGTCTCTCTGATTGGTCAGAACACTCTCATCTTCCTCTGGTACTGTGGAAGTAGAACCACTGCACCTCCTGCACAGACCAGGAGAACCAGGGCTGACCAGAACATGTCACATCTGCTGATGTTTAGGACGTCTAAGGCACGAGCCAATGATCTGAATGAGCAGACATCTTGGAGAGACCAGGATCAGACATCTTGGAGAGACCAGGAGCAGACATCTTGGAGAGACCAGGATCAGACATCTTGGAGAGACCTGGAGCAGACATCTTGGAGAGACCAGAAGCAGACATCTTGGAGAGACCAGGATCAGACATCTTGGAGAGACCAGGAGCAGACATCTTGGAGAGACCTGGAGCAGACATCTTGGAGAGACCAGGAGCAGACATCTTGGAGAGACCAGGATCAGACATCTTGGAGAGACCAGGATCAGACATCTTGGAGAGACCAGGAGCAGACATCTTGGAGAGACCAGGATCAGACATCTTGGAGAGACCTGGAGCAGACATCTTGGAGAGACCAGGAGCAGACATCTTGGAGAGACAAAGAGCAGACATCTTGGAGTGACCTGGAGCAGACATCTTGGAGAGACCAGGAGCAGACATCTTGGAGAGACCAGGATCAGACATCTTGGAGAGACCTGGAGCAGACATCTTGGAGAGACAGGAGCAGACATCTTGGAGAGACCAGGAGCAGACATCTTGGAGAGACCAGGATCAGACATCTTGGAGAGACAGGAGCAGACATCTTGGAGAGACCAGGAGCAGACATCTTGGAGAGACCAGGAGCAGACATCTTGGAGAGACCAGGATCAGACATCTTGGAGTGACCTGGAGCAGACATCTTGGAGAGACCAGGAGCAGACATCTTGGAGAGACCTGGAGCAGACATCTTGGAGAGACCAGAAGCAGACATCTTGGAGAGACCAGGATCAGACATCTTGGAGAGACCTGGAGCAGACATCTTGGAGAGACCAGGAGCAGACATCTTGGAGAGACCTGGAGCAGACAGCTTGGAGAGACCAGAAGCAGACATCTTGGAGAGACCTGGAGCAGACATCTTGGAGAGACCAGGAGCAGACATCTTGGAGAGACCAGGAGCAGACATCTTGGAGAGACCAGGAGCAGACATCTTGGAGAGACAAAGAGCAGACATCTTGGAGAGACCAGGGGCAGACATCTTGGAGAGACCAGGAGCAGACATCTTGGAGAGACCAGGAGCAGACATCTTGGAGAGACCAGGAGCAGACATCTTGGAGAGACCTGGAGCAGACATCTTGGAGAGACCTGGAGCAGACATCTTGGAGACACCAGGGGCAGACATCTTGGAGAGACCAGGAGCAGACATCTTGGAGAGACCAGGGGCAGACATCTTGGAGAGACCAGGAGCAGACATCTTGGAGAGACCAGGAGCAGACATCTTGGAGAGACCAGGAGCAGACATCTTGGAGAGACCTGGAGCAGACATCTTGGAGAGACCTGGAGCAGACATCTTGGAGACACCAGGGGCAGACATCTTGGAGAGACCAGGAGCAGACATCTTGGAGAGACCAGGAGCAGACATCTTGGACCCGGAATCAGAATTACCCAATGCTTTTTAGTGTCTTATTTTCTCTGGAAAACGTCTTTACAGGATGGTCCAAAAGTGGCTCTTGGTCCAAAGCTACATTCCCATTGGACCAGCCTAGTTTAGCCGCTGTGGACTTTTGAATGCACTCCTAAAATATCGGAGAGACCGGGGGCAGACATCTTTGAGAGACCTGGGGCTTGATTTTCCCTTCATACTTGCTCCAACATATTTTTTCAACTGAAGTTATTATTGCACATTCTGAAACAGGAAATGACAAGTTAACAGTCTCATTGTAATTTTTTATGAGCAAAACCAATGCATAATATTTCCTTGTGAGTGACAAACATAAACGTTCCAATCGGTCTTTCTACGATCCTGCTCAGGTCTTTTCCCGACTCTGAGCCTCGTTTGTTCTCATTCCACTTCGTTAGCGCTGCTGCTAACGAGGACATCAGGGCTGATTACACGGCCTCATCTGTCCCTCCACAGCAGACAGGCCTGGACCACACTTTGGGAAACACTGGAAACAATTGTAAGCTAATTTGAAGCTAGTTTTTTTTCTTATCCCAATCTGTAAGAGTGTCTTGGAATCTCGTTGTTATTGGTCTTTTTTAGATCTGGACCTGGTTTTGGACCTGGGTCTGGTCCTGGATTGTCAGCAGCAGCGGAGGAGGCAGAACACAAAAACACTCGGGGTGAAAAAAAGCAGAAGCAGAATCGTGTTGCATAATGGAGCGTTTATTTCCCGCGTGGAATGTCCGGCACAAAACAAGATGTGGTCAAGATGTAGGGAGCGTCTGCATCAGCGTCTGCATCGGCGTCTGCATCAGCGTCTGCATCAGCATCAGCGTCTGCATCAGCGTCTGCATCAGCGTCTGCATCAGCGACTGCATCAGCGACTGCATCAGCGTCTGCATCGGCGTCTGCATCAGCGTCTGCATCAGAGACTGCATCAGCGTCTGCATCAGAGACTGCATCAGCGTCTGCATCAGAGACTGCATCAGCGTCTGCATCAGCGTCTGCATCAGCGTCTGCATCGGCGTCTGCATCAGCGTCTGCATCAGCGACTGCATCAGCGTCTGCATCAGCATCTGCATCAGCGTCTGCATCAGCGTCTGCATCAGAGACTGCATCAGCGTCTGCATCAGCGTCTGCATCAGAGACTGCATCAGCGTCTGCATCAGAGACTGCATCAGCGTCTGCATCAGCGTCTGCATCAGCATCAGCGTCTGCATCAGCGTCTGCATCAGCGTCTGCATCAGCGTCTGCATCAGAGACTGCATCAGCGTCTGCATCAGCGTCTCTCTCTACGCCTGTCAGTCTCAGTATCTGTCTCTAGGTCTAAGTCTATCTCTGAATAGGTCACTGAGACAGAGAGACACACATAGACCCAGAGCTACATGTGTCTCTGTGTCTGTCTGTCTGCATCAGTGTCTGTCTCTGACTCTAGGTCTAAGTCTATCTCTGAGTCTGTCTCTAGGTCTACACATGTCTCTGTCTGTCTCTGCATCAGAAGTACTGCGTGAACTGAGCAGCAGCAGCAGGTTCAGTGGTGGAGCTCAGACTCTGAACCAGAAGCAGCTGCTGTTCGGGGCTTTTCTCTCACACAGCCACAAAAACCCACTGCGCTCTGATCAATTCATTTCCTCAGCGACAGATTCCCTTTTTTCAAACACACATTGTTACAAACCCCTGTGCTTTTCAAGCCCAGGTTTAATTTTACTACATCATCACAGATTTTAAATACAGAGAAAATAATGCATAAACATGAAAAACCACCAGGACGTTTACAATTGAACCCAGTCCCGAAACATAGGGACTCGAAACGTGGCTTAAAAACACAATCTTTACAAAAGTCCTGCATGTAAAATAGGGCAGCATCAAAATCAGTGACAGCTTCACATGGATCTTGTGGTTTTGAAGGTTCTTTAGTGGAAACAGAGGATATGCAGTTTTAAACGGATGTAGAAGTTCTATATTCGGTTTGGTGCGGCGACAGAACGCAGAGGAAGGATTTTTAGCGTGAATACGTTTTTAATGTGTGCGACCGAGGACAGTGACTGGAAACTGGACCTGGAAATGTTTGACTTTTATGGCACACAACACTGTCTTATGGATCTGTTGGAGAGAGAGTATTTCAAGTACCCGGGGGTCTCGCTCAGGACCTGACAACGCTTTCAACGGCGTATCTGAACTTTTGTTTTCGCATCACGTAACAAAACAAAACACGTAAAGTGAGGGACGGTGCTGATCCAGAACTACTGGACTTTCTGGATTTAAAGGCGCAACTGAATATAAGCCACACCTCCTAAAATCTTAAAAAGAATACGTTGTGTCCACGTATAGGACCTGAATATAAGCCGCAGGTTTTCATGTTGTGACGTAGCAGAGACGACCGTTAGCTTCCATCCCTCATTAACCAGTGCATTTTTGACAATAAACCAGTGTCCTGTAGCTACTAAAACTTAAAGGAGTCAAAAAAAGAAGTCCATAAACTCGGACGACTCTATTACAAACATTTTTTTAGAATGATCAATAATATTTTTTACTTTTGCTGCTACTGGACACCTGAATTTCTCCTACAGGGATCTATAAAATATCTATAATAAATACACATATTAGCTGCATCGCTATATAAGCCGCAGGGATCAAAGAACTAGAAAATGGTAGCAACTTATAGTCTGGAAATGGCGTTAAATGAGAGTCCTATACCCAGCACTGAAGACGCATTTAGACATCGATCTAAAGCCAAAGCTGAAGCGATTTCATAACAACATGGTAAAGTTAGGACCCCTGTTTTGAAACCGCAAATATAATTTAAATGTAGAACTTTCCTAAGCCTTCCATCAGGCGGGTTTGAAGGAAACACGTTTATTATTATTATTTACTGTAGAAATGAGTTTAAAAAGATATTTCCAGTCACTGCCCTCAATCCACGACTGCGAGAGCCGCCATTTTGAAGAGAGGCGTTTGAACGTGTGCGAAAAGCAAAACAAACCTGAACATGACGCTTTGGTCGAACCGACAACAAACTGATGTAACGAGTGCATAAAGTATTGCATATTTAATGTATTTCACAAACAGGAAGACGATTGTGTGTGTGCATTTGTGTGTCTGTGTGTGTGCGCGTGTTTGTGTGTCTGTGTGTGCATTTGTGTGAGTAAGTTCGGTGAAATGAGCAACAAGCGTTTGGACTTCGTTATGAAATCATTCTTCTTCACATGACCTGCTTCCGTAAACCATTTCACACTAAGCCCCTTTGTCCCGGTGTCAGTCTCAAAATGGCTCAAAAATGTGATTATGTCCTAAATATTTACATCCCTAATTCTGTTCTGTCCCGATGCTAACGGCTATAGGCTAGCGGGAAGTGAAAAAAATGGTCCCTAAATCCTAACAGTGAGGCCCTAAAGCCGGGTTTGGGACCAGACTTTGGGACCGGACTCTAAAGCTGTGTTTGGGACCGGACTCTAGAGCCGTGTTTGGGACCGGACTCTAGAGCTGTGTTTGGGACCGGACTCTAGAGCTGTGTTTGGGACCGGACTCTAAAGCCGTGTTTGGGACCGGACTCTAAAGCCGTGTTTGGGACCGGACTTTAAAGCCGTGTTTGGGACCGGACTCTAGAGCCGTGTTTGGGACCGGACTCTAGAGCCGTGTTTGGGACCGGACTCTAGAGCCGTGTTTGGGACCGGACTCTAAAGCCGTGTTTGGGACCGGACTCTAGAGCCGTGTTTGGGACCGGACTCTAAAGCCGTGTTTGGGACCGGACTCTAGAGCCGTGTTTGGGACCGGACTCTAAAGCCGTGTTTGGGACCGGACTCTAGAGCCGTGTTTAGGACCGGACTCTAAAGCCGTGTTTGGGACCGGACTCTAGAGCCGTGTTTGGGACCGGACTTTAAAGCCGTGTTTGGGACCGGACTCTAGAACCGTGTTTGGTACCGGACTCTAAAGCCGTGTTTGGGACTGGACTCTAGAGCCGTGTTTGGGACCGGACTCTAGAGCCGTGTTTGGGACCGGACTCTAAAGCCGTGTTTGGGACCGGACTCTAGAGCTGTGTTTGGGACCGGACTCTAAAGCCGTGTTTGGGACCGGACTCTAGAGCTGTGTTTGGGACCGGACTCTAGAGCTGTGTTTGGGACCGGACTCTAAAGCCGTGTTTGGGACCGGACTCTAAAGCCGTGTTTGGGACCGGACTTTAAAGCCGTGTTTGGGACCGGACTCTAGAGCCGTGTTTGGGACCGGACTTTAAAGCCGTGTTTGGGACCGGACTCTAGAACCGTGTTTGGTACCGGACTCTAAAGCCGTGTTTGGGACTGGACTCTAGAGCCGTGTTTGGGACCGGACTCTAGAGCCGTGTTTGGGACCGGACTCTAAAGCCGTGTTTGGGACCGGACTCTAGAGCCGTGTTTGGGACCGGACTCTAAAGCCGTGTTTGGGACCGGACTCTAGAGCCGTGTTTGGGACCGGACTTTAAAGCCGTGTTTGGGACCGGACTCTAGAGCCGTGTTTGGGACCGGACTCTAGAGCCGTGTTTGGGACCGGACTCTAGAGCCGTGTTTGGGACCGGACTCTAGAGCCGTGTTTGGGACCGGACTCTGAGCCGTGTTTGGGACCGGACTCTTGAGCCGTGTTTGGGACCGGACTCTAGAGCCGTGTTTGGGACCGGACTCTAGAGCCGTGTTTGGGACCGGACTCTAGAGCCGTGTTTGGGACCGGACTCTAGAGCCGTGTTTGGGACCGGACTCTAGAGCCGTGTTTGGGACCGGACTCTAGAGCCGTGTTTGGGACCGGACTCTAGAGCCGTGTTTGGGACCGGACTCTAGAGCCGTGTTTGGGACCGGACTCTAGAGCCGTGTTTGGGACCGGACTCTAGAGCTGTGTTTGGGACCGGACTCTGAACGTGGAATAAGGTTCACGGTGTTAAAAGTGTTGTGTGTCTTTGTTGCTAACATCACACACACACAATCATTGGTTTGACAAACTATAGCTGTATTTATTCAGTTAGCGTTAGCTTAGAGACACGTTTATGCTAATGTGAAAGTGTGAGCTGGGATTCACCGGGATTGAAGCAAAACCGGACATTGCTAAAATAACATGAACTGTGTTTAATGTTTATGCATGTTGTGAACTTAATTTAAAATATCTTATTTTTACAGTAGAGTCAAATTTAACTAAATCTGATCAAATGAACAGGAGCACTAACGAGGGCTTCCTTGTTAGCTCACTGTAAACACCATGTTAGCATCATATATGTAAGGTACCTTCATTAATATAGCGCATTTCACAGCTTAACAATGTTAGCCATGTTAGCTCTCCTGGTTTTTACTATACCTAAAATTGCGACCTCTTTCTTAGTTCCTGTTAATCCCATGTGTCGACCCTCGTTAGCTCCTGGTTAGCTCTTTGTTAGCTCCCTGTCACCCCCGGTTAGCTCCTCGTTAGCTCCCTGTCACTCCTGATTAGCCCCCTTGTCGCCCCTCGTTAGCTCCTTGTCGCCCCTGGGTAGCTCCCTGTCACCCCTCGTTAGCTCCTGGTTAGCTCCCTGTCACCCCTGGTTAGCTCCTGGTTAGCTCCTTGTCGCCCCTGGGTAGCTCCCTGTTAGCTCGTTGCTCACTTCACCGGTTGCATTTCCAGAAGTTGCATCGCGTTGTTCGCCCTGATCGGAGCTGGTGCACGTTTGATTTTGGATTTTTTTTGTCTTTACAGAAGAAAAGTAAAAACGTGTTGTTGGCGAATGCAGTGCAACTTTGAACATTTTTGATTTAATATCGGGCCAAAGCTCAAGGCACATCCATCGTGACGGTTTTGAGGGTTTTTTTAACGGTTTTTGAGCTGGTTTTGAAACGGTCTGTACAGTTACGACACCTACAGGACAAACACTAACACTACACATGCACCTTTTATACTTCACTTACATAGAGCGATGAGACCTGCTGATTGGACGCTCCTGCATAAGTGCGTGTGATTGGACAGCGCCTCTCGGAGACACGGGCCAATCAGAATGCAGCTTCTTTTTTAAGATTATCGAGCGAAACGACTGATTATCAGTTTCCTTTTGCGCTAACGTAATAAAAACGTGTTTATGATTGAAAACGGGCAGTTTGAATTCATGACTTATTTTAGTGGTTTTAAGACATTTCTGGCTTAAAGTGCAGCTCCGGTGATTTCAATCATTTGATACGTTACTGAGAAACCATCCGGAGTATCGCGGAGTAGATCTGATACAAAGATAAAGACGTTTTAAACATATTCACAATAAATCGCAAAACGCTGCAATACAATATTATGTTTATGCCACGTTAACAAGAGTTACCCTTGAATCATAGACTGTATATGGAAGGACAATGCTAATTGGGAAGTGCTCATGGGGAAGTTTTGCCCCAACTCATCCCGGCCTGTTCAAGCTAGCTCTAATTTAGCTTGAAAAGGATTCTTCCAGCTTCGGTTGCACTGGGTCAGTCCACTCCTAATATACAGCCTATGGTTCGAATTAGCAACGCTAGCAAGTTAGCCCAAGTTAGCAAGCGTTAGCTTGATATAGGTACATTAGCAAAAGTTAGCCTTACTGATCTGTGACATTTGATCTGAGTATTTGCATAAGCAAGAGTTAGCTGGGGTTAGCCATGTTAGCATGATTTTGCCATGTTAGCTGGAGTTAGCCTTGTTAGCAGGATAAATATACAAATAACTAGCTTATTCTGTTTATTTTACTGTTATATTTCTTGTTTATTGTGTTTTCATATAAAATGTAAACGTTTGTAATAAATATTATTACCACTAGTATTACAGTCGCTTGTATCTCGTCAGAAATGTCTTTGAACCAGTAATTTAAGTTTTTAATCCTACAACATTCAAAGTTATTATTATTAATTCGTCCATTTTGCATCGTCCTGTTTTAGACCAGTGGTGTGAGAAGTTAGTGATACTTTTTTGTGAAACATGTTTTGAATAAGTTACGGTGATTTCATGATTAAATTGATATAGAAAAAGGCGTCGGTGTTTTAGAGTCCGGAGGCTCGCTCGGACTTGGACGGAACACAGCGTTAGCCCGAACCACGTTAGCGTTAGCCCAAACCACAACATTGCACTTTCCTCTTTTTCCGCTGTCCTCAAACTCCGACGACAGAACGCGATGGCATCTCAGAAGATTACGGGAATAATGTCACAATTAAATCACACAAAAGTCGTACCACAACAGCTGCGGACGTCAGCGGGAATCACTCCGGTTCGACCATTTTCAAAGATACACGACGGCTAGCTCACTTGATAGCTTATTGTTAGCATTAACATTAGCTAGTTATTCCACGAGTCAGGGCAAGACC